AGATGGGATGCAAAAGGAGCTGAGGAAGAAGAAGAGAGGAAGCATCAGAGAGGAAGGGGGAGAACTTGGAGAGTGCCACAGCAGTAATCAAGGGAACGCATCACACCATTGTAGTCTGATTAACAGAGGGGTCAGAATTCAGAAAAAGCCTGGGCTTTGGCCATTAGGGGGTTATTAGTGACATTCCAGGGAAGCGTTTGGAAGGAGAGTAGAAGCAGGAGCCAGATTGCATTGAGTAACTTTTGAGTAACCATTTGGCAGTACGTTGTGAAATCTAATAGTATAGTGGCCCATCAGGCAAAACAAATGTGGCAAGTGGGCTGTATGAGAAGAAATCAGAGTGGGGAGATCTGTTGGTAGACTGGGGGTCAGTGTTGCCTGATCTTTTGATTTTCCACAGGAAGCTGGAAATACAGAAACTTTTGGGTGATATTTCCTGAGTTCTAGATGCTAGTTCAATACTTTAAAAATATAAAACTCGGCTGGGCGCGGTGGTTCACGCCTGTAATCCCGGCACTTTGGGAGGCTGAGGCCGGTGGATCATGAGGTCAAGAGATAGAGACCATCCTGGTCAACATGGTGAAACCCCGTCTCTACTAAAAATACAAAAAATTAGCTGGGCATGGTGGTGCATGCCTGTAATTCCAGCTACTCAGGGGGCTGAGGCAGGGGAATTGCCTGAACCCAGGAGGCGGAGGTTGTGGTGAGCTGAGATCGCGCCATTGCACTCCAGCCTGGGTAACAAGAGCGAAACTCCGTCTCAAACAAACAAATAAATAAATAAATAAATAAATAAATAAATAAATAAATAAATATAAAACTCTATTGAGGGCTAACCAGAACACATCTGAGGGCTGAATTTGTCCTACCAGCAGCAAGCTTATGGAATCCTCTTTTTAGAAGTTTAGTAGTAAAATGAGAAAGCATCTCAAAGCAGCAGCAAGATCAAGGAATGTTTAAGATCATGTTTGAGGCACGTGTGTGTGTATGTGTCTAGCGTTGTTTGTTTCTGTTTTCTTGGAGTGAGTAAATATAAACTCACTAAGGAGGAGGATTTAATGTATTAATAGAGAGAGGCCCAAAATATCAAGAGAGGAGGTGTCTGGAAAAGGAAGGTGCTTGTGGGAGTGGGAGGAATCAAATTAAGAGGCACATTGCAAAGGAAACATCCCTGCTATGAGAATCCGAAATCCAAAGTGTTCCAAAATCTGAAACATTTTGAGCACTGACGTGACACTCAGTGGAAATGTTCACTGGAGCATGTAAGCTTTTGGATTTTTGGATTTGAAATGTTCAATCAGTATAACACAAATTTTCCAAAATCTGAAAAAACCCAAAACCCAAAACACTTCTGGTCTTGAGCATTTCAGATAAAGGATGCTCAACCTCTGTTAGAAAGAGGAGAAGATGCAAACAGATGGAGTGATGGAAAAGTGAAAAGGCAGAAGTGAAGAGACCTTCCCTCCTTTATACATGTGGTTAGAGAATATATTGCATGACTGGAGAGGGGCTCAGTTAGAGCCTGGACAAATTTTGTGATGGCTGCTTGGGGAGGTAGTGGCTAGAGTGTAGGGCACTTAGAACTGTCAAGTAGCCGTGAGGACCTAGTTTACTTCAGTTCATGAGTATCTATTTATGTGATAGCACTAAGTGCAGAAGATACAGAATAGGTAAGACTCAAATACCGCCTTTGTGAGTTTATGGTCTTACTTATATTCTGTATCTCTAACCTGAGCTGATGAGCAAGTTTCCCACATTTCATTAATACACTTGCTCTCATTGCCACTTTGTTATACCTGTGAGTTACCTCTACTATTTGCTCAGTAATTTTCTTTAAATTATCTCTTACTTTACATGTAAAGATAGAAAAAAGGAAGCTATATATAAGTACTTACACTTTTATATTGTATTTGTCCAAACAATGAATTCTTAAAAGTAGTTTTAAAATACAAAGTTATTTGACATTTCCATGTCACCTAAAATAATCTTGTGTATAATTAGTAGAACATATACCATGCCTTGGAAACAATGAAACTGGTTGGTTTGTTGGTAGGGTTCTTTTTTTTGAGACATTTGCTCTTGTCACCCAGACTGGAGTGCAATGGAGCAATCTCTGCTCACTGCAACCTCCACCTCCCAAGTTCAAGTAATTCTTCTGCTACTGCGCCCAGCTAATTTTTGCATTTTTAGTAGAGATGGGGTTTCACCATGTTGGCCAGGCTGGTCTCAAACTCCTGACCTCATGTGATCTGCCTGTCTGAGCCTCCCAAAGTGCTGGGATTACAAGTGTGAGCCACTGTGCCTGGTCAGTAGACTTCTTTATGTCATTCAGAGCAAGGATTTTTTTTTCCATGTTAGAGTATACATACATGGCCTTGGTTTTCTTTATACAAGCAGGTCGGCTTAGATGGCCTGATCTGAATAAAATGGATAAAGGCAGGGACCTCTTTGCCTGACAATTTTAAAGGGTTGCTATTTGAATACCAAGAAGTTTGAAGCTTCACTGCAGAGACTTCCAAATTAATCTAGTCTGGAAAAAAACGAAAATGCCATCAAGTAACAGGAGATTTGTCAGCTGCTCTGCTTATACTTTTCATATAAAACATAAAGGTTGGCAGATTATAGATGAAAGGTCAGTTCAGCAAAAAAGAAAATATGTCAGACAATCTCATAACATCAGTAACAGAGGATGGAAGTTGGAAGCTACTATTGGACTCTCGGAAAGAGATGAGTTTGTTGGTGATGTGTAAATATCATCACCTTTTCTGTGGCTCTTCATTTTGGTGGCTACCTTTTTATGTGAGTCTTCAAACTTTGATTTAAAATACACCAAAGATGCCTGTCTTTCTGAGAAAGATTTACTTTGCAACAGTTTCACTTAAAGAAAAAGAAAAAGGAAAAACCTGGTCTGAAGGGGGAAAATATACTTCTTTTGCCATAGTGGCTAGTCTCACCCACGCTGCCCCTGAACCAGAGCCCTAAAATGAGGATAAATTGAGAAACTCAGGCTTCCTGCAAAAGCAGTGGCGCATAATGAAAGGGTTTACAGTGAGTACTTCGTTGTGAATGATTAAAGGGGAACTGGGCAACTGCAGTGTGATTTGTACAGGTAAAATTCTTTGCTCTAAAAATCACACAGTTAGGACCTGCCTTGGAACAGATTGCTTCCTAGTAAAACATTTTAGCCTGTTCCAGCTTTGGGAGCACAGGCAAATTGGGGTGGGGAGCAATATTAGGCCCATAGGGTCACAGAGCCATGATATTAGAGTTGTAGGGCCTCTCACATTTCTAGCATATGCAGTGCTGGGAATTTGTGCACTTGAAGTGTGGGAATTGTGTAAAATACCACCATTCTATCCAAGCAACTTTGCTATGTACATCACACTCCTAATTACTAAATTCACATAAACATGCATTTGAGGGAGGCTTCCTACTCATTTGTGAACTCTTCAGCACAGCCTTGCACATGATGGAGGCCAAAGACATGACCCACAGCACTGTGGGCTAGTAGTCAAAGATATCCATTGATACTTGGCCTCAATGTTTCTGGTTTCTTCTCTCTGCGATGTTATTTTCTATCAGACTTCTTTCCTCTCTCTCTTAAGCCTCCCTATTATTGCCCTTGCTATATATGCAATTTTATTATTGTCAAAAATCTAACAATTAATAGCCGAAGAAAAGACGATAATATTACAAAACATGATCTGGCAGTCTTCAAAACTGCTTCAATATTAGCAAATACGTTTGTGATGTGCTGCTGAGACTGTGTGGACTTGGCAGTGTAATCTTTAGAGTTTGAATTGCTGAAATCCAAGCGGATTGACGACAGAACTTGTTTCCCTTGTCTCCCTCACAAAATTATCTTCCCCACTAAGCTTTCTTAATGAAATCACTGAGACTCTGGCTTGCTGGTAAGAACCAGTTCTTACAACAATTGTATCCATTTCCTGCTAGTGGTAACTTTAATTCTTCCTGGAATAGCAGGAAACATTAATTTTGCATTGGACCCACAGGTCTCAGAAAGCTAGAATTAAGGTGCCATTGTCCCACCCTTTTTTCCTCCAAAATAAAATATAATAAAAGAGCAGCAGATCAACAGTGAGGCTTGAGGGATGGGTAGAGTAAAGGAAAGAGCATTAATTTCAGGTGGGGACAGCTGCCTGGCGCTATCTCCCTTTGGATTTTGGTTCTTATAGCATCACGGTGAGTTATTAATATGTATGACCTGTACTTTATTCAAACATTATAAATCTATGCAGAAGTCTGGTGTTTGGGTTTTCCCTTATAGCTTTCATTCTTCTTCCCAGAATTATCTCATTTCGATCGGGAAACTTTTGCATAAAAAGCACACGCCGAGAACTCACATTTCCATACCATAAATATTAAAAGGGGGTTAAGCTTTACAGTTTCTTCTCCCATCCCAACGGGAGGAAAGTTAGCCTTCTAATCAGGGGCCTTACTAATGTTCTTTTTATTCACAAGCCAAAAGGTAAACTTAAAATTAGAATTGAAATATGAAATTGTACTATGTGGTTCCTTTCATGTATGTCAGTCTTGAAATATTTGACTTTTGTGTGAAGGATGTATTAAAAATCTAGTAGTTATCTGAGTTATTAAGAGTAGGTGGTTAGATTATGTTTTGAGGACCCAACTAGGTCCAGACCTTTTCTTGAGGATCATGATTAAAGTGATTTTTACTGGATAAATATAAAGTGTGGATTCATCACAATGAATAAGTAGCATACCGGAGAGGGAAATGGAACTAGAAAACTTAATGTCTTTTTAGCAACGTTTTAGCTACTTAGCAGCTTCCTATCTCCCGTTATTGTCATTTTTGTTAGCATAAAGGAGTAGTCATAAATTCTGGTTCACATGGAAATGTAAAGGAATGTGTGCGCTATTTCATTTGGGTGAGCTGTCTGCTAATCACATAGTCTTGGCTGTTGTACTTTGTGATGGGAAATAAACGTGCTAATTGGTGCTCTTTTTTCTTATTTCAGGAAACCTGCCATATGAATATAAAATAGTGATTGCTGGGAATCATGAACTGACATTTGATAAGGAATTCATGGCAGACCTTGTTAAACAGGACTACTACCGTTTCCCCTCTGTGTCCAAATTGAAACCAGAGGACTTTGACAATGTTCAGTCCCTTCTGACAAACAGTATTTACTTACAAGATTCGGAGGTAACAGTGAAGGGATTCAGGATATACGGTGCACCTTGGTAAGTGATGATTCAAACAGTTTTCCACATTGTTTTTTAGCTCAGTACCAAGAAAACATGGCTCAGACTTACATGCTTTAAAGGAAAATGATGAGGATGGAAGGAAACCTTATTTCTGTATTTCTAACAAAATACATACTGTACTGCTGCAAAATGCAATACTTGTTTTCATTGTGATAGAAAGCCCTTTAGGCAAGATCAATGAGAGTTAAGGCTTTCCTAGATATATACAGTCATCCCTCCTGTGGTATCTATGGGGGATTGGTCCAGAACCTCCTGCAGGTAACAAAATTCCAGCCTTTTATATAAAACAGTGTGGTATTTGCATATAACCTATGCACATCCTCATGTATACTTTAAATCATCTCTAGATTACTTTAATACCTAATACAACATAAATATGATGTGAATCATTGTTATACTTTATGGTTTAAGGAATAATGACAGGAAAAAATATCCAGCACAGATGCAATTCTTTTTCTAATATTTTCTCTTTTCTTTCTTTTTTTTTTTTTTTTTGAGATGGAGTCTCTCTCTGTTGCCCAGGCTGGAGTGCAGTGGTGTGATCTCTGCTCACTGCAACCTCTGCCTCCCAGGTTCAAGCGATTCTCCTGCCCCAGCCTCCAAAGTAGCTGGGATTATGGGCACTCACCACTGCACCCAGATAATTTTTATATTTTTAGTAGAGATGTGGTTTCACCATATTAGCCAGGCTGGTCTTGAACTTCTGACCTCTGGTGATTTGCCTGCCTTGGTCTCCCAAAGTGCTGGGATTACAGGCATGAGCCACCGTGCCTGGCCCATTTTCTAATATTTTCTATCATTGGTTGGTTAAATCCCTGGACGCGGAATCCCTGATTATGGAGGGCTGGCTGTATATGTTTATTCTACTGGGTCCGGGTGAGTGTCTATATGACACAGAAGGATTTGAGAGGAGGTCACCATGCTGCCCTTTACACAGATTCAGCTACACTGAACATTCCCTCAGCCTTAGGTAACTCATTTTGTACTTGAAGCAGTCATAAAATATCTTGCTTAGATTAGGGTTTCTCAAATCTCTCTACACATCAGAATTTCCAGCTCTGTGGAAATACAGATTCTGAAGCCCCACATCCAGAGACTCTGATTCTCCTTCCTGAGATGAAGCTGAGCAGTTCATATTATTTTAAAGTTCCCTCTGGAAGTTACTGATTGAGAGCTGGGGCTAGAATTCCCAGAACTAAGCTCTGGAAAACTTGAAATGGGCATATATACTTGGGGGCCAGACAAGAAGCATGTCAGTCTTGACTCTATCAGTTGACAGTTTTCAGGTTTTAAAGGAGTTACTTCACAGTTTCTGAGCCTCAGTTTTTGCATCTCTAAGAGGTGAAGATGACACCTATTTTAGAGAGTTATAATGAGGATAAGATAGGTAAAGTTTGCCGTGGATTTAAGAGAGTATCAGGTAGTTTGCTTAGGTTGTGAATTATAATTTTTCTGGCCTTGGGCTTTTCCACTAAGTATTTATATGAATTTAGGAAAGTCATTTAGGTCCTAGAGTCAGTTTTTTAAAATCTTTAAAATGGGAGTATTAAACTAAATGATTGTCAATATTAGCAAGTTCTAGGATTTTTCTGAGGGTGTATATAGACCAAAACTAACCTGTGTGTGTATATAGAGCAGAAGAACTAACCTTTACTCATCCAGTACAGAAGACTATCCTCGTCCTTGCCTAGGAGTTGTGGATAGGACTGGAAAAAGACAGGCAGACTGAATTCAGATTGGCCACTTTACTCCACAGTTTGGCCTGTTCTCTGTAAATTAAAAGGCTGAGATATTTTCTATAATTTTTGTCTAGCTTTACGAGTTGGTATCCAGAAAGACTGGTGAGTGGGTACAGAAAGTACATTTCTGTTTAAAATCAACCCCAACAATGATTTTGAACTCTTAATTAAGTACTTCCTATATGCCAGGCATTGTCCTAAGTTTTTTGTATATGTGTTATCTCATTTAATCCTCAAAATACCTTTAGGAGATGGGCACTATTCTGATTCTCATTTGATAGATAAGAAAACACAGTTGCAGAAAGTTAAGTAATTGCTCAAGAATCGCCACAGCTAGTAAGAGGTTTGATCTGAAACTGGCAAGTCTGATTCCAGGGTATATAGCATGACTGAAGGGTGGCGTGGGTGGGGATGTGGTATTGGTGGTTATAATCTGCAGATCCAGTTTATACCTAGCTTTAGCAAGGTATGTCAATTTATTTATTTTTAACGTGTGAGAACGTGGTAAAGGGTAAGAGAATAAACAGCAGAAATCAGTCCTGTCAAACTGTAATCTGAAAACTTATCTCTGGGTCATGTAGGATGTTGATATTAGCATTTCTGGGTAAAGGGCAGGAGAGAAAGCATTTCCAGCTTCACAGCCCAGTTCTTAATGACTGTGCAGTAGTTGAGGGATGACCTCTGATGGGCAGAGACACTCTACATGCAAGTTAAGATCAATTGTTTAAAAATAATTTAAGATTGCTTTTGAAAAATCTTTAAAAGATGTAGGACATTTAAGGCTATTCCTGAGCAAGCAGGACATTCAGAGATCCTTGGATTGATAGTTGCAGAAATGATGACAGCAACAAACTTCCTCCATTATCTGAGCTGATTCAAATCTGTTTAGGACAGGGTTCAGCTAAACCAGATTACAGCTGTGATGAATGAGGGAATGATTTTGGTCCTCAGGCGGGTCTTGCAGCATCTCAAGAAACTGAACAAACAGAGTAATTCAGAGATGTGATATGACAGGCATGGTCTGTTTTTGGTGGTGGTGCAAACTGCAGACAAAGTTTATATCTGAACTGGATGGATGTCATTTAAGATGTTTTAATTTTAATACTGGCAAGGGGAGCAAAGTCAAGAAAATAAGCACTAATCAGTCTTCTGAAGTGTTTTCCTAAAGTTGTCATTAAACGTAATGTCTGTTGAGATTTCCACAAAGCTTCAACCATTTCCTATTGAGCATCTCTTTACAATGAGGAAGATCTGTAAATGGTTTTTGCCCCATCCATTGGAATTGTTGATACTTTGTATTTTGATCAAGAATACAGAGGTTGACAAAATGGATATTTCAGTTTATCATATATTTTGGAGAGGCATCCATAGTTTGGATCTCACTGTGAATATATTTCATCAAAATTAACATTCCCAAAACTATTGATGATCTGAACATTGACTTAGGAATGTCTGCATTAGTGTTTCTGTGCTAGGGAGGGCAGTATTTGCCATCTCTACCACTTTTACAGTGGTGTGGGAACTTGGGTGAGTTTCTTAACATCTGCCTGGCTCTGTTTCATCTCTAAAATGGGAAAAAACATTATAGTTTCATGGTTGTTAGGAAGATAGGATTAATGCATCCACAGCACATCGAAGACTTCCCAGCATGGACTAAGCATTTAATAAGTGTTACCTATTACTACTAATAGTGATGTGTTGGCGTTTCCAAAGTACTTTATACCTTTGTCAACCTTCATAAGGAGACTACAGGACTAGGAGTGAGATTGAATGAGTTTTATCCTTAGTTCACCTTCTGCTCATTGGGTAACACTAGGTGAGTCACTTAACTTCTTCATTTAGTTGTAAAACATGAGGAATGAGGTCTGCCCTAGTTTCTTTCACATGCCACCCACTTAAATGGTCACCAAAGTTACAGTTTTAAAAGACAATACTCATTTGTGGGTATGCTTGAATTACCTTAATATCTTATACAACTTTTAACCTTGTTTACTATTAATTTGCCTAGAAGCAATGTTTCGAGAACTTATGCCATAGGTTAAGTTCTCCCTTCAGAAATTAGATTTTTTTTCCATCTCTGAGATTAACTCACAGGTGAGTTCCTGCTTAGTAACCCAACAGATATTGCAACCCAAAGTAATGTAAATTGATTGTTTGATTTCCCAATTTTTTCAGTGACTTTTTTGGAGGAAGTATTAAGTTCTGCATTGCTGATACTGCCGGTGGTTTTAAAAATAGAAATCAAAATAGGAACCCTAATATTAATGGTTTCCAGTCTATCATAGGTTTCTCAAAAGCAAATACCATCAGACTAGGAAAATAGCTATAATTCATGTATTTTGAAAATATGGATTGTGACTTGGTCTAGCTATAGAAGAAGAAGATTAGTCTGTATTCATTACACGTTCATAACTTGCAGCACAGCTGAAAGCTACCTCAAGACTATGGAAAATTAAAGTAATAGTTTCTAATTTACAATTTAACAAGAATTTGTATGTAGAAAATAACTTACAACACACCAGAGCATTCATATACGTTTGCAACTGTAATGTTCTGTAGTACTTACTAGATCCCCAAGGAAAAGGCTTTGAATGTGGTTAAAGGGTCTAAAAATCCAGTGGCCTAAAGTGAAGACGTTATAAGTGGGATACCAAGTCTAGGAAGGAAAGGGGATTCCTTAGACATGAAGGCAAGAGTTGATGAAGTCTCTGGGGGCACTCTTACCTCAGGAGGCCTTAAGGCTGGTTTTGTGGCTTCTGCATATATTCCTTCATTATCTCATTCTTCCAAGAATCTGCAAGAAAGGCATCTGACATCTTTTTCACAGTTCAGCCACAGATTTGCTTCACTTCTCCTAAAGTCATTTTCTTTTTTCATTCTTTTTTGGGAGTGCAGAAGAAGAAGGTCTTTTGTTATCAGGCAGGTGGGTCAGTCCCATGCTTAGTTCTTACCATGGGAGAGCTTGTGGATTTCTTTCGTCCCTAGTATTGATTCTCCACCACCAAGGCGGTGCCCAATTCTGTCTTTGTGACTCACTCTCAGCTCTGGAATGTCTTTCCCAAAGGCTGAGTATGCTTAGAAAGGGGAAAAAATTTTAATCTGTCAAATATTAGCCACTGTGGTAACTAATGGCATGTCTGGCCAGGGTAGAGGGAAGGTAGAATTTTGAAATCATCTTTGTATTTTTGATTACTGAATCTGTAGCCAGCTTTTTAACACAAGCGGTTTGGGGTAAAC